CTTGGTGGTCCTAAGGTCCTTTGTGTTCCTGGAGTGTAAGATTAACTACTTCCCCTTTATGTTACAAAACATCTACCTTTACAGTTTCTCCCTTTTACTTTAGCTGCAGTGCTATAGGATAAGTATTGGATTAACTGCAAACCCACCAGCTGCTCCTCAGAAGCACTATGGGTAGGAACCAACTTGATGGCCCATAACAAAAACAACTCTATTTACAAGCAAGTTTCAGAGTCTCTTCTCACATCAATTTTAGTCTTTTCTTTCTTTCTTGTCTTTTTAATCCATGATGTCTTTGATGGGCTCCAACAACTCGCCTGGTCTTTGTTCATTAGTGTTCAAAGCATCAAATATATTCTTGAGATGGTCTTTAAAAATCAGGTGGGATATGAAGTCATAGTTTGACTCTGGTTGATTTGTTTTAATTTTCTACTGCTTCAACCCGAACTTGCGTATCATATGAACAAATGATGGTATATTCTGAAGGTAGCTCTTAATTTCGTTCTTACTCATATTAGCTTCTTTATTGGCTCATTCCACAAATGTAGTCTGTTTTGATTCCTATATATTCCATACGTGAGGTCCATTTGTTCAATTGCCATTTATGTTTCTGGGCAATCATGTTACAGATCTCAGGCAGGAAGTCCTCACTGAGGAGTTTCTAGAGCTGCCTTTCAGGCAATGAGTTTTTGAGCTCCCTCAAAAACTCTCAGTGACCTGTCTCCATTCCTCTTCTGTTTGGTACGGGAGCCACCAAGTGCCTTGGCCTGGCCCTTGGGAACCATTTCTCCTCTGAGTTTTCTCCCTGCTTTTCACTCACTAGACTCTCCTCTTGTAGTTTTTTTTTTTTTCTGTTTGAGGAGACTTCCTCTTCTTTTTCCTGTTTTCCAGGAACATTTGAGATACTTTTTTTAGATTTCACTTTCCTTGCTCAAAGAGAGTTCTCCATTGGATTTTCCTTGTACAGGGTCCTCTTTATACATTCGTGTCCCATAGAAATACCAATAGAGTGCCCCAGAATTGTCTTCACTCAGAGGTTCCACTCGAAGACTATCTGCATCCAGACCCTTGAGAAGATCGAAGACATCATATGCATCTAGTTGATAATCACAGAGGTGGTGCAAGATCTTCACATGAGTGCCAAGTGACAGTTTTTGGAAGTTAGCTTCTCTCAGAGGGTTGGGCTTCCGTTCTTCAAGCTCCCAGCGGTAGTTGATGATAGGTCCTCTAGGTAGCTGTGGAATGTCTGAGGCGTGATTTTCTTCCTTGATAGCAGTCCTGAAGCAAGCAGGTGATCAGGTCACTGATAAACTCCACAGATCTCTGTGAAGAGCTGCTTCTAATACTTCGATCTCAAAGTCCTGCCAGTAGAAGTGTGCAATGGCCACTAGGAGCGGAGCTTGCCCAGCCCAGCGGTGCCGCCCTCCTCCAGGCACATCTCCCAGGGCCCGCGGTGGCAATGACTGCAGCTCCACGCTCGGCTAGCTCCCGTTGCTGCCATCGCTCGGCGGCTTATGCATGAGCGGAGGGCAGGCGACCCGGGCGGGGGCGTCGGCTCGCTAGGCGGCTGCTGCTGGGGCTGCCAGCGGGGTCTGCGCGTTGGCTCCAACCTGCTATTGCGGCTACAGCCGCCTGCAGTCCCATCACATTTCTCTTTTACAGTCTGAAAGCGCTGTTGTGTTTTATAAAACTACAATTTAAGAGAACCAAAATTACTCAAATACTAGTTCACCTTTTTTGGAATAAAACTCCAGTCGTTCTTGACTAGGGTGTTGAGACATTCTTTTGAATTTGGACCTATTTTCACTGCTTTCTTTTCCGTCTGTGAATAAAACATTGTTAACACCTAAAGAATAATATTAAAGGAAAGTGTATGTAGATTCCCAACGGAGACTGTAGAGTGGGCCCAGGGATCCAGGATTTATGTTCCCAAATTGTTACCAAAATAGCAGCCATAACCTTGGTAGTGGTGGTGGTTATGTGTTGTGGAGTTGGTCCTGAATCGTAGCGACCTTGTATAGGGTTTCCCAGGCTGTAAATCTTTATAGGAGCAGAAAGCCTCATCTTTCTCCCACGGAACTGCTGGTAGTTTTGAACTGCTGACCTTGAGATTAGCAGCCTGATTTGTAACCACTACACTAGCTAGTATAGGTAAATGTATCTATCAGCATTGGAAGATAGAGAGAATAACGTAACCCAGAACAATAAGAGTAGTAATCTCCATTCACTATAAAATACCAGTGGCTCTAAATGGAAGATGAATCAACATTGCCTTTGTTAAGCAACTACCAGAGTGCTCCTTAGAGGCCAAGATGGCCAAACTTCGTCTTTCATACTTTGGACATATTGTCAGGAGGGAGCAGTCGCTGGAGAAGGATATCATGTTTGGTAAGGTGCAGGGTCGGAGAAAAAGAGGAAGACCCCCAACAAGATGGATTGGCCAAGTGGCAGCATCGATGGACTCGAGTGTGGCAACAGTAGTGAGGTTGGTCCAGGAATCGGGCAGTGTTTTGTTCTGCTGTGCATAAGGTCACTATGGGTTGGTACCGACTCGATGACACCTAACAACAACACCTTCCAGACTCTAAGAGGCACAAGCTGTCCTTATCCAAAGACCTGGGGAAAGGAGCCAAAGGTACTGGTCAGAATTCCCTTCACCACTGATAACTAGCAAGCCAGGCAGCCCTGCACTGCTATCCAGCAGTGGGTGGAGGCACTCATGTCCACTTCTAACATGGACTGCCTCCCCAGAGAGGGAACAGAGGAAAGAAGAGGGCCTCTTCCTGAGCATTGATGCTAGGCAGCAGATTGTGGTTCCCAGTATAACTTTTAATGTATAGGGAAGTGGGGTCCTTCTTTGAAGTGTGTGTCTGTGTACACATGAGTGTTCGGGAAGGAGGGCTGAGTTTCTGAGTGACCAGTCCAACTCCTATTAGGCTTGAAATCAACACTATGCAAAAACATAGCTTTCTGACATAGTAGGAGGAAACAAACAAACAAAATTAACTGGTCCACATTGTATATTAAATATAAGTGACAACCATAGAAAGCTTGTAAGTCTGTCTTCAGCCTATAACTGATTGGAATACCTAAAATGGAGTTTCAACTTGCCCAGTAAAGAGGCTTCCTTAGGAGCCTTTGCACTGCATAAGACCATAGGTGGAATCTGAACCCCATTCAGAATCTCCTGAGATGCGAAATCTCCACTTGAAAGGACAAGCAGACCAGCCTGGAGCAGCTAGAAGAACAGAAGATACTCCTTGAAGACCAGCAGGAAAAAATCAAAAACAATAATGGCAGTCTGATGGACTACTACAAGAACAAACAAGTTGTTCACCCAGAAGCCATCAAGGCAAGTCATCGGGTCTCCTCAGGACAAACCCCCTTCTCAAGGGGAATACATGAGCAGGCATATGGTCTGACTGGTGACCATGTTGGTCACCAATAAGGAGAAGTGGGGGACAAGCAGCGATGAAGTTGTGAGCTAAGTTCGGCCATGTTCTATAGACTCCTGTGTGCCAGGGTGGAGACCTGGTTGCCCAGCAGTTTGGCAAGACCTGGGGACTTCTTGGGCCCAGAGACAGTGACATGGCCACAGAGGACTAGAGTGGAGAGTGAAATGTCCAGCTGATAAAAAGAGAAGGCATATGCACAGGAACACCCATACCTGCAGATAGTACCCACTTGACCTGGCTTCAATGGCTGGATGATCAGAACTCATCTAGAAGAAGAAAGAAGAGGAAAAAAAGAGTAATTTGATACAATTTGATGAACATGACCTATACTCATGGATGTAGAAGCTCAAAAGAGGGAACTAATCTTTACAGTGACGATCATTCCCACCCCCTCGGCATACAGGGTAGACAGGGATGGGCAACTCAGACATTGGCTACCCAAAATGGGGGGGGCTACAAAGGCAAGAAGTCACTGGCTTACAAGCTTTTAAGAGGGAGCCTAATTCCAGAGAGTGTAGGGGAAGGTAGAATCTCCACTGAGTGGTTTCTAATCTGTCTGGATGGGGCAGATGAAAGCAGATGGGGATAAGACTCTTGTGGTACAATAGTGAATAATTGCTATCAGGACTGACTGTGAGGGTTGGAAATGTAAAGGTAGACATTTTGTAACAAAAGGAGCAGAGTGGTTGATTTTGCAATCCAGGAGCAGAGGTTCTTGGGACCATCAAGGGAGAAGAGCGGAGTGTGGGACCCTACACATAGAAGCAGTGATGCCAGAGATGGAGGCAGAGATGATAATGTGGAGAGATGGAGTGGCTGGGGACTCTGGACCCATGGAGGGAGAGGAGCTGTGTGCTGATGACCAGCGGGCAAGCTTGCAGGGTGTATACTTCGGTTGTCTGATGGTGTATGGAGAGGACTGTAATCATGGCAATGAAACAAAATATGATAGGATGAATGTAAAGCTAATGTTCTCCATATAAACTATCACATAATTCACAATTAAAAAAAAAGTTACAGATGCATTTACAACTAAATACAAAAAGATAAATAAATAAAAACTGTACCCCTTAAGTTTTGGCATGTTGTACTTTCACTTCATTCAATTCTATTTTCTGATTTTCTTTTTAAATTCTTTCTTCACCCACTCATTGTCTAATAGTGGGTTGTTTAATTTCCACATACTTATCTATTTCGTCTTTTATTAATTTCTAGTCTCATTCCATTGCAGTTGTTATAGAAAATACTATAGTGTAGTTTCAGTCTTTTTAAATGCATTGAGACTTGATTTTTTTTGTTGTTGTTAAATCCGTCGAGTTGCTTCCAATGCATAGCGACTCTGTATAGGTTTCCTGAGGAGCAGCTGGTGAGATTGAACCACCGACCTTGCAGTTCAAACAGCTTTGCAGTCTGGCACATTAACCCACCATACCACACCAGGACTCCTGAGACTTGCTTAGTGATCTAATATATGGTCTATTCTAGAGAACAATCCATGTGCATTAGTTGTTAAGTGCTGCAGAGCTGATTCTGACTCACAGCAACCCTGTATAGGGTTTCCAAGGCTGTAAACTTTGCAGGAGCAGAAA